AGACTGAGGGCAACAGCAGCCACACTGCACCACTGTTGGCTGGAAGAAGTGACTAGAAATGGTAGCCAGCTACCATGTTTTGCTTGGCTACAGGGTGTTCGTATTTTTAAAGTTATCTTCTTCTTCTTTTTTTTTTTTTAATTGTGAGACAATTTAAATATGAAAACTAGGAAAGAATAATAAAATGAACTCTAGTGTATCCTTCAGTCCCTACGGGGCACAAATCGTGAAGTGCGTGATGCCCAGCCAAAAGGTTTGAAATCACCTAGAGGTGCCTCAGAGGACAGGCCTGGCAGTCTGCTTCTGAAAGGTCACCCCCTTGTAAACTCCATGCAGCAATTCTATTCTGCACACATAGGGGCGCCATGAGTCACAATCTACAGCAACTGGCAACAACAACAACTGTTTATTGAGCACTTGCTACATGCACTAGCAAGAAAGGCCTGGCAATCTTGTGAAGCTCAGCCTTTGAAAACCGCATGGGGCATAGGCCTACTCTGATACACAGGGGGTTGCCACAAGTAGAAATTGACTCCATAGCAACTAAATGATAACATATCCTTCATCTGTATCAGAGTTTTTTACTTCACACTGTTAACATGTGGGACCACTGTTCATTTTGTTGTGGGGACTCTCTTGAGCTTTGTAGGATGGTCAGCAGCCTCCCTGGCCTCTACCCACGAGATGCCACTTGCACCCACTCAGTTGTGAAAACCAGAAATGACCCCCAGCGTTGCCAGATGTCCCCTGGCAGTCAAAATCATCCCTAATTGAGAACCACGGATTGAACAGTTGTCGTATCTGCTTTATCTTTTTCTGGATTTGCTCACTTTCCATCAATTTATATGTTTACTTTTTTTTTTTTTGGAGGAGCTCTAGTGGCACAGTAGTAAAAGCATTCAGCTGCTAACTGGAAGGTTGGTGGTTCGAACCCACCAGCTCTGCAGAAGAAAGATGTGGTAGTCTGCTTCTGTACAGACCTTATGTGACAGTTCTGTCCTATAGGGTTACTATGAGTTGAAATCGACTTGACTGCAGACAGTGGTTTTTTTTTTTTTTTTTTTGGTTTTCACTTCTGGCTGAAACATTTGAAAATAAGTTACAGACATGACACTTCACCCTAGATACTTCAGTATGGGTATCCTAAGAACAAGGACATTTTCCTGCATAACACGATTCTATTATCACATCCAAGACAATGAACCAAAATTCCTTGTTATCATCAAATATCTCATCATATTAAAAATTTCCCAGTTATACCAAAAATGTCTTTTACGACTTGGTTTTTCCAGTCAAGATCCAGTCAAGGTTAATTGCATTTGATTATTAAGTCTCTCTACTCGCTATTAAGTATGGTGTTTTAAAACCAATTTAGAATCAGTTGCTACATTGAAAAACGGAGATGTCACACAAATCCAGATTTCTGATGTTTCTTGAAAATTCAGTAGGTTTGTCAGCCATTCTTCCCTTCCTTTTCTGAGGGTTCTTCCCCCATAACATAAACTCACTGCCCCCAGAGTTTCCTTTCAAGTACTTGTCAGTTTGATCTCATATGGATAGTTCTCTGAAAGGGCCCAGTGTTCAAGGGAGATATTCTTACCGATTGAGCTAGGCTGTCATTTGGTTTAAAGAAGACTGCAGGAGTA